GGTATACAGTAATGTACCTTAATCTGCTTTATCCAATTAACCACAGCTGTCTCCAGCACATGAATGACAGCTGGTCGTCTGCTACTGTATGCCGCAGCCTCTGACAACACCTCAATGGATGGCAAGGGTAGCGTGACCTGATCCTTTGAACTGCCCTCGGCAACCTGCAGGACTGAAACCATCCTGTGCACCAAGTCCATCAACTTGTCTCCACTGACACCTCCGCCCATCTCAATACTCAGCAGCGGCAAGAAGACATCCTTGGTTAAAGTACTGGCATGACTTAAGGGTTGATACGAACAGTCGCAGAAGGCCACATCGGTGATAATGTTGTCCCTGGAGAGCTTTCCTGCTTCATGAATCTTAACAAAGTAAACTGACTTCTCTCTTAAGCCACTGGGTGGATTCAGTGATGCTACAAGGTTTTTGCCAGCAGGAGTGGTTGACGAGAAAATAAACAGTTTTTTCACTTCTTCATTGTTGCAGAATTCAAACATAGCCTCCCTAGGGAAAAAGAGAATTTCATCAGCAAAATAAAAAAATTGAGCTGGAGAATTCCCTTCTACATGTAAATCTTCATGAGATATAGTTATTTATAAATAAACAATTCATCCACAGACAATCTGAAGAACCATGTCAGGGGTATTTCGCACATTTTCTCTTTTATGTTACAGTCAAAAGAGGGTGACATCTATTTCAGTCCTGAAGTCAAGGAAGTGAGGAAGAAGCAGATGGTTGGTACCAATTTTGTCACCGGCATGAAAGATGCTTAGTACACTCTCAGGTTGTTGTTACATTAAGTGGCTACACTTGAAGGAGTCGATTAATCATACTCCTACAAATAGTAATTAGTAGTAGAACGCTAAGTACTGGTTTGCATAATCAAATGCAATGATCTGATTGGCTGAGCAATCGACTGCAGCTCTGTGCATCATCGTCCTGTGGTTGTTTTCCTACACTGTATGTTCCATGGTTCCTTTTCCCTCGATAGTGTATACATGTACTTTATATGTATGCAGTATATATGTATTGAAGTCTTACCTGCTCTTTTCATTAGTAAACATATGCTTGAGTTCTTCTGCTCGTGGTTTGAGGGACGATGTCACCCTGATCTCTATCCATCTTAGCCTCTCATCCAGCTCCATATTTCACTTACGTCTCTGTTAAACGTACTTATTTGCCTTCATAAGTTTTCTGAAAAATCACACATTTGATCAATTGCAAGTATCTACGAGATATCTATAACAATATCATACACTGCTCCTTTCCTACTCTAACTACATATAAGATACCTACTGGGCAGTCTGGCATTATTAATATTTAACAGTCAGGAAAACTATCTCTAAGATTTGGACAAGGTTATAGTTTTTAATGGTCATAGAAACAAGGCAAAGCAAAAAACAATCAGTCTACAGTTGTACTCCTATAGTGGATAATGCTATCTATCAGATATAAGAGTTCACTGTAAGTAAGATGGTTGGATATTTGCCAAACTCTTTTGCTGTCTTTGCTGTTTTTGCCACCCCTAGTGTAACATTGTTGATGCTGCAAGTTTGTTTCAAATCAAGCATGTGGTAGATTTGAAACAAGCAGCACTGATTGGTTTGGAAGAAAACTTGCCGCACCACGTGTTACTCAGAATGGAGGGAAATATTGTGGGTGTCAAGGACTACTGGGAAGAGAAGCATAATTATACACTGTGGACCAGCTGGCCTTGGCTCAAAAAAAAAAAGCCACGATCCAGCCAAGTAATGAAATATGCTTATAGTGAATGAAGGATTTGTTGTTATGGCACAATTTTTAGAGATTGGTATCTGTATCCACTTTCACCCATGGACAGACCAGGCAGATAGGTAGTCCAAGCACAGATGAAAATTGACCCAGGAAACAATTTTATCTGAGCCATACCAAAATTCCTGTCTAGTGTAAACTGGGTCTTCATAGTTACACAGTCTGAGTACTGACTAAAGATTTTCACATCCAAACTATTACATGTAGGTCAATAGGAATCAACTGTAACAAACTGAAACACATTGCAGAGGCCACATCTAGAGTGGCAACTGTGATTTGAATTAGTGAGTTAAGCCTAAGTTCAAATCTTTATAGACCCACAGAACTGTAAAAAATATCTGATTCTGACCTGAAGCAATTCTTACTTTCAAACATTCAGCAAGCTCTGCTGCAAACAACTATTTGTATACGTGTAATCGGCAATAAAAATATATTTCGCAGAATCGATCAATCAAACACGAAACTAAGCAAAGCACGGAAAATTAAGCTGTACTGGCGACAATTGACTGTGAAATGAGCAAGGCTTCAAATTTTTAGCCAGCATCATCAATCAATAAGCTTAAGAGTTAATCATTGGCGGGAAGCTTAGTGGATTTACATTTCACATAAGCACGATCTCACAAAAGAAAGCTGTGAGTGAAACGCTCGTTGATAAGTGGAAAAATTTGGAATTCGCGCGCACTGTCCCTGCAAAAGTCAATTCTACAGACTACAAAATAACGTAATATTCTCTTCCCTTATATAACAAGAGAAAAAAATACCACTTACTAACAGGAACTGATCTACCTTTTCACGTGCAATTCTGCATAAAATCATATCTGCGAATCCTCGCAAATGTTTGTCTCGTCTAGCAAATTTTGCAAAAAGTCCGCCATCTTTGTTTGACTTCGTTGTCAAAGTTATAGTCACGTGACATCTTTTTGGAGGGTCAAATTAAAATGGCGGACGGAATGATGCAAAATGACCCTGAATGTACAGCCGGAATCATTATTATTGGGGACGAGATTTTAAAGGGTCATACAAAAGATACGAATTCTTATTTTCTGCTGAAGAAGCTGTGGTCCTTAGGAGTCAAGGTGGGGAAAGTGTCGGTCGTTTCGGACGATGTGGATGAAATTGCCGGTGAAGTGAAAAAATTCTCTTCTCGATTTTCCGTCGTGATCACCACCGGTGGAATTGGCCCTACTCATGACGATGTTACAATGCAGGGAGTCGCCAAAGCGTTTGAGGAAGATGTAGTCCTCAACGAAGAGTTAGTGAGGTTGATTTCGGGTGCGTATGAACTTTCAGAACATCAAATCAATTCGTCCCATCTGAAAATGGCCCGTGTCCCTTCCTCAGTCAAGCTGTCTTACGGCAAAGATTCATCTGGGAGACCGAGTAATTTTCCCCTTATCTCTGCACATAACGTGTATATATTCCCTGGTGTCCCTCAGTTCTTGGAAGAAGAGTTTGGCGTTTTAGAAAACCTGCTATCAATTTCGAACTCTAAGAAACGGTTTTTCCTGCGAAAGATTTACCTCTCGGCAGACGAAACAGCTATAGCTTCTGTTTTGGATGAAGTGGATGAGAAATTTAAAGGGATCGTACATTTAGGATCGTACCCTAATGTCTGCAATCAAGAATTCAAGGTCAAGTTGACTGTGGAGTCTGATACCATGAGTAGCCTAGAGGAGGCCTGGCACTACCTTTTGGCAAGATTGCCTGAGGACCTCATTGTGAAGACAGAGGGAGGTATCGCTGATGCATCAATACCAAATTGTAAGTCTTGTATTACAGAGTTTGCCTTCCCAAGAGAAAAAGAATTTATCACAAAGTAAAATAATGTTTTCCCGATGGGATGGTGAAGTAAGATGGAAGGTGTAGCTTCAGATCATGCCCTCCTCCAGTCTCTCTGCTCTGCTCCGACCCCAATGAAAAATAATAACACTTGATCAAAGGTTAGAGGAGATTTGACACCCAGAAATACTAACTACTCATGTAGTTATGTCCTCCTCTTTCGCTTTCTAAGGTGGATTCTGGGATGATGGGGAAACTGAAACCAACACTGTAAAATTGTTGTGTTTAATTAAACCTTGATATCTTGTCCTCTGAGTTATCAAAAATCCACAGCTATCTCAAACTCAAATAATTTTTCCTTGGATATGTTTTTTCAGTCATTTAGAATCAGCTATTTAAACCCCCACCATCTCAAACTGTTTTCCATTTCTCTTAAGAGTTTCAGATAGCAGGGTTATGTGAAAATTTCAAATGAATACCCAAACCAGTCAACAGCTATTGTTATGCTTAATAATAATGCACATATTATCACTTGGTCAACATGTAAATGTTTTTTTTTTTTTTTTTAACAGGTCTATCCAGTCAACCTCCAAATAAGGACCGTGAGCAGGTACTGAACATGGAAAAAGTCTATCACCTACTGGATCCCAAGGATGAGTCAAACACCAGTGCCTGTGTTAAAGGAGCATGGGCCATTATACAGCAAACCCTACAGCTGTATTCCTTGGATGAATTGTGTATCAGTTTCAATGGCGGCAAGGACTGCACTGTACTATTACACATTTTACATGCTGTGGTTAATAAGCTGTCACCCCCACCCAAAAAACTGAAGGCTTTGTACATTCGCTATGACTCACCATTTCCTCAAGCAGAAGAGTTTATCTCGGAAACAACTGAAAGGTACAACTTGAATCTCCTAACTATGACGGGAGATATTAAAGCAGCCCTGAAGACTTTGAAAGAAACTCAGCCTGCAATCAAAGCGATCATGTTGGGAACTAGAAGGCATGACCCTTTTTCGGATGCACTGCGCACTTTCTCTCCTACAGACCCAGACTGGCCACACTACATGAGGGTAAATCCAATTTTGGATTGGCATCACGCTGATGTGTGGTCTATGATCAGAGAGTGCAGTATTCCATACTGCTGTTTATATGATGAGGGATACACATCACTGGGAAGTACCCACAACACAACCCCAAACCCTGCCTTAAAATATGACGACGGCAGCAACATGTACAAACCTGCTTACATGTTGGAAGATGGACACCTCGAAAGGGCTGGTAGAAACTGAAAAGAAAATTTGTTTTCTCTTGACAATTTGTTGAATACGAATTTGTTTACCCCACAAAGGCATTAACCCAAAATCTACATGTAACATTTCTGATATAATCTTGATTAATTTTTTAATCTGAATTAATTTACTCTTAGTGACGTAATTTCTTGCTGTTAGGTGGCTCCCTATGGTTTTAGGATGGCATGTGGGAAGCTCAAGTAATCTGTGCGCACTGGAAGGAAAACATCAGTGTTTTTTTCGATATTTTATGACATCAACATGAGCACAAAAAGCAAAACTGACAGTGAATTTTCTTGCATTTCCTTTGGTGAAATTCCCTAAAATTTTGGCGGGTTGGTAGTGAATATTTTACTTTAGTCAGAGCTCGTTTTTCAGGGAAATCTATAAGCCCAGTTTTTCGCAGCAGTAAAAGACATAAATTTGCAAAATTCGAAAAAACTGCCTTTACAAACTCTACTTTTTTCCTGTTTAAAATTCCGCAGGATGAGATGTGCTGTGAAAATTTTGGAAGATTTCACCAAACGAAATTCAAGAAAATCACAAATGAAGCCATACAAANTGAATTAGTGAGTTAAGCTTAAGCTCAAATCTCAGAGCCACAGAATTGTAAAAAATATCTGATTCTGGCCTGAAGCAATTCTTACTTTCAAAAATTCAGCAAGCTCTGCTGCAAATCACTAATTGTAAACGTAAAATCGGCAATAAAAATATATTTCGCAGAATCGATCAATCCATCACAAAAGCTAAGAAAAGCACCAAAAATTAAGCTGTACTGGTAACAATTGACTGTGAAATGAGCAAGGCTTTAAATTTTTAGCCAGTATCACCAATCAATAAGTTTAAGAGTTAATCATCGGCGTGCAGCTTAGTGGGTTTATAGTTCACGTGAGCACGATCTCACAAAAGAAAGCTATGAGTGAAACGCTCGTTGATAAGTAGAAAATTTGGAATTCGCGCCCACTGCAGTCACAGCCTGCAAAAGTCAATTCTGACTACAAAATAACCCAGTATTCTCTACTCTTATATAACAAGAGAAAAAGTACAACTTACTAACGGGAACTGATCCACTTTTTCACGTGCAGTTCTGGACAAAATTATATCTGCGAATCCTCGCAAATGTTTGTCTCGTCTAGCAAATTTTGCAAAAAGTCCGCCATCTTTGTTTGACTCGGTTGCCAAAGGTTATAGTCACGTGATATCTTTTTTTTGGAGGGTCAAATCAAAATGGCGGACGAAGTGATGCAAGATGACTTCAAATGTACAGCCGGAATCATCATTATTGGAGACGAGATTTTAAAGGGTCATACAAAAGATACGAATTCTTATTTTCTACTGAAGAAGCTGTGGTCCTTAGGAGTCAAGGTGGGAAAAGTGTCGGTCATTTCGGACGATGTGGATGAAATTGCTGGTGAAGTGAAAAAATTCTCTTCTCGATTTTCCGTCGTCATTACCACCGGTGGAATTGGCCCTACTCACGACGATGTTACAATGCAGGGAATCGCCAAAGCGTTTGAGGAAGATGTAGTCCTCAACGAAGAGTTAGTGAGGTTGATTTCGGGTGTGTATGAACTTTCAGAACATCAAATCAACTCGTCCCATCTGAAAATGGCCCGTGTCCCTTCCTCAGTCAAGCTGTCTTATGGAAAAGATTCGTCTGGGGAACCGAGCAATTTTCCTCTTATTTATGCACATAACGTGTATATATTCCCTGGTGTCCCCCAGTTCTTGGAAGAAGAGTTTGGCGTTTTAGAAAGCCTTCTATTAATTTCGCACTCCAAGAAACGGTTTTTCCTGCGAAAGATTTTCCTCTCGGCAGACGAAACAGCTATAGCTTCTAGTTTGGATGAGGTTGATGAGAAATTTAAAGGGATCGTACATTTAGGATCGTACCCCAATGTCTGCAATCAAGAATTCAAGGTCAAGTTGACTGTCGAGTCTGATAGCGTGAATGGCCTGGAGGAGGCCTGGCACTACCTTTTGGCAAGATTGCCTGAGGACCTTATTGTGAAGACAGTGGGAGGTATCGCTGATGCATCAATACCAAATTGTAAGTCTTGTATTACTGAGTTTGCCTTCCCAAGGGAAAAATAATTTATCACAAAATAAAGGTTTTCCCGATGGGATGGTGAAGTAAGATGGAAGGTGTAGCCACAGGATCATGCCCTCCTCCCATCTCTCTCCTCTGCCCCTTGATCACAGATCAGAGGAGATTTAACACCCAGAAATACTAACTGCTCATGTAGTTATGTCCTTCTCTTTGGCTTCCTAAGGTGGATTCTGGGATGATGGGGGAACTGATACCAACACTGTATATTGTTGTGTTTAATTAAACCTTAATATCTTGTCCTCTGAGTTATCTCAAATCCACAGCTCTCTCAAAGTCAAATAATTTTTCCTTGGATATCTTTTTTCAGTCATTTAGAATCAGCTATTTAAACCCCCACCATCTTAAACTGTTTTTCAGATAGCAGGGTTATGTCAAAGTTTCAAATGAGTACCCAAGCCAGTCAACAGCTGTTATGCACATATCACTTGGTCAACATGTAAATGTTTTATTTTCTGTTTTTTAACAGGTCTACCCAGTCAACCTCCAAATGACGACTGTGAGCAGGTACTGAACATGGAAAAAGTCTATCACCTATTGGATCCCAAGGATGAGTCAAACACGAGCGCCTGTGTTAAAGGAGCATGGGCCATTATACAGCAAACCCTACAGCTGTATTCCTTGGACGAATTGTGTATCAGTTTCAATGGCGGCAAGGACTGCACTGTACTGTTGCACATGTTACATGCTGTGGTTAATAAGCTGTCGCCCCCACCCCAAAAACTGAAGGCTTTGTACATTCGCTATGACTCGCCATTTCCACAAGCAGAAGAGTTTATCTTGGAAACAACTGAAAGGTACAATTTGAATCTCATAACTATGACGGGAGATATTAAAGCAGCTCTGAAGACTTTGAAAGAAACTATGCCTACAATCAAAGCAGTCATGTTGGGAACTAGAAGGCATGACCCTTTTTCGGATGCACTGTGCACTTTCTCTCCTACAGACCCAGACTGGCCACACTACATGAGGGTAAATCCAATTTTGGATTGGCATCACGCTGATGTGTGGTCTATGATCAGAGAGTGCAGTATTCCATACTGCTGTTTATATGATGAGGGATACACATCACTGGGAAGTACCCACAACACAACCCCAAACCCTGCCTTAAAATGTGACGACGGCAGCAACATGTACAAACCTGCTTACATGTTGGAAGATGGACACCTCGAAAGGGCTGGTAGAAACTGAAAACCCAAACTATGGCAAAGAAAATTTGCTTTCAAAATGTTTATTTGTGTCCGACACAATGTATTGACTGTAGTTTAAACAAATAAGAATTTGTTTACCCCACAAAGGCATTAACCCAAAATCTAACATTTCTGATATAATCTTTGGTTGTTTCACAACTGAATTAATTTTATTCTTAGTGACATAATTTCTTACTGTTATTAAGGTGGCTCCCTATAGTTTTATGATCGCATGAGCGAAGCTCAAGTATTCTGTGCACGCTGGAAGGAAAATGTCAGTGTTTTTTTCGATATTTTATGATGTCAACATGAGCGCAAAAAGCAGAACTGGCAATGAATTTTCTCACATTCCTTCAGTGAAATTCCGTAAAATTTGGCAGACTGGTAGTGAATATTTTACTTAAGTCGGGGCTCATTTTTCAGGGAAATATATATGACCAGTTTTTCGCAGCGGTAAAAGATATAAATTTTTGAAAATTGAAAAAACTGCCTTTACAAACTCTACTTTTTTTGTTTGAAATTCCACAGAATGAGATGTGCTGTGAAAATTTTGGAAGATTTCACCAAAGGAAATTCAAGAAAATCGCAAATGAAGCCATGTAAAAAAAAGGAAAAAACACATTTGCTTGGGCATTTATAATTCAAGACTAAAACCCAAAATTTTAACAGAGATGATAGTAAAACACTATTTCATCATTGCTTATTACATGTAATAAGTTTGAGCGGACTGGGTGTAAAACAAATGCAAAAACAGCATTTAAAACCTAACACTGGCACGCACAGCGCCATAAATGATTACCCTATGGAGCCACCCTAAGGGCTCTATCATTTCTCTGAGGCAATACTAATAAACACAATTCTTGATCTCCAAGAATCTATTTCACGTAGATTATTTCAATATTGATATTAAAAGAACATACAATCTTTGTTTAATGAGGGACAAACTTTCAGATACAAGCTTTAATTTTGTTTTCCTAGTGCTAATATCTATGTACAATATTTTGGTTGACGGCATTTACAACTACTTGTAAATTATAGTTGGAAATTGCATGGTATACACACGTCCTAAAGATAGCCCCTTGAAATTACAATGAAGCAACACCTGAATGGAATTAAATTCCTGTAGCAATGCACATGCACAGCTTAAAAACCTCAATCTATGGTTTCGTGGAGACTTAAAAGAAAGGATAGAATGACCTTGTACAGTATAATTAAACAGTACCATGGTTTCACCTGTACTTAAAATTCAAAAACTGCTTCATACAGAATTGTAAATTAATACTGCAGTTCATTAATTGACTACACTGTACTTCCAAAATATATATAAATGAGCTACTTTATACACTAATGAAAAAAACCTTGCCAACAGGAGGGGCACCATTTTTTCCTCCAATCTTCCACAGATTGGCAAAACTTTTCAGCATGAGACAAAGTGAGATCTGGTGAAAACTGGGTACAAAATCGACCCTCTGATTCAAATGTGGCCCCTCCTAAGAGCTATCTGTATCGAGTTCATAAAGATAATGTTATTATAATAACCTTTCTCCAACACCTAAAGAAACTATGTCAGTGATAATAAAATCACATACTGAACTGTGGGATAACATGACCAGGCTTGATAGCTCGTTTGGACTAGAGCACTGGACAGGTATCGCAAAGGTCCTGAGTTCAAAAACCTTTCAAGCCTAAATGAATTTTCTTCAGGGTTTGTTTTTGCAACCACCCAAGTTCAGGGCTCGAAAAAAGTGCCATACGGTTGTCCCAGACAAGTTGATTTTCCTGCCTGGAGAGTAACTTTTCATTCTCACAGCCCAGGCAAGTTGTCTGTCAAGTAAATAATAAAAACTGTAAACTAAGTCTTGCCCGTGGCGAGCAAAATTTGAGAGCTGCTTGTCCAAAGGGCAAGCTGGAATTGAAGTATTTTTCTAGCCCTGCAAGTTGTGTACATAACTAAGATGATCTGTCATGTTTTTAAACTTAAAGAAACTAACCAAAGGTATCAAAGAATAAAATTCATCACTACTGTAACTATTTCTAATGCCCTACAAATTTGTATAACACCAGTAATGAATATAAAATGAACAGCCCCCAAAAAAGAGGGGAATATAGTTGACCAGTTTATTAGGACAACATAATGAGTTATGTAACATAAGCATTGATGTTATTTCTAGTGTTCATAGTTAGGTATTCATGCACAGCATTAAAGACATGATCATTTGAAGCGAGAGCTCTGTGACTGTGCGATGCCATGTATAACTATTTGTTTGGTGACTTCTACAGTCTGAAAATAACACAGCTTATTAGTTACTATACTTTACCAATGATACCCAGTGCAGAAAAGAAACTAATTAAGTTGCTGATTCTCTACTGGAGGTATGACAACTTTTGGTGAGTAAGGCCATGCAGACATACTTGCAGGCTATTATAAATAAACTGGCCAAATTGAGAGATCTTTCTCCCCGTACTCACCTCAATTCACTCCTGAAGAAAGTTTATTTTTTTTTTGGTCCTCTTTTTTCCTTGAGAGGAGGACAGATGGGAATTGGGCTGGCAAGGCAAGGTAACCTCATCTCCAATGCAGCACAATTCAAACATTGGACGCACTTTTCCTTGGATTCTCCTCAATGTGTCAAGCCATCTGGTACGTTGATTGTACATCATTAATGTCTGATTATCACAGTCTAGGTAAAATTCAATTACATCATTGTTCATGCAGTCGGTAATCGCACTCTTCTGGCATTTTGATGAAGGCTGATATCTGTGTCCTGAACTCCATGTCCAGTGGGAATCACGAGGATGTTGGTTTTGTGGAATTCCACCAACCCCAAAAGCAAATCCAGCTGTGAAATTACCTGATATGCAGTCTTTCCATGAATGCTTACCAGAACCAAAAAGACACGACCCAAAAACTGTCCACTTGCTGTCACAATGGTAAAGAACTTTGTCTTCATGATAATGATAACCATCATCATAAACATCACCTGCTTCCATGTCTAGCTGAATTGTTGCTTTCATATTATCCTCAGTCAACTGAATGTAGTCAGAGGACCTGGCATGCACCTGTCTGCAAAGATTCCATATTTCATTAACCCATTTAAAAGGACTTCCCATCACATGACAACCATTTAGTTTCACTGACAACTGGTACTCCATAACTCCATGGACTGGAGTAAAACAGAAACTGTATGTGCCATTTCCACAGTCCACAGCTGGATTATCAAGAACTATTTCACCCTTGTGAGTGGAGATTTCTACTTCAAAAACATCACCACCTTCTGTTCGTTTCCTTCCATTCCAGTCCTTAGCAGTTATCAAGAATTCAATCAACTGCCCATTTAGCGTATTGTACATCACACCCTCTGATCCATGTCCCATTGTTACTGTAGATGAACCAGCTTGTGTGAACAGATCAGTGACATCACCAAAGCTTGGCAACGCTTGTTGCAGTTGGTAATCAGGGAGAAACTTAAAGCGATCATGGGCACTCGGTTCCAGCTGCCACTTGGCTGAATTCAGTTCTTGTAATCGGCAAGACATT